TATATATATATATATATATACATATAAATATTATTATATACACACATATAATTATACATATATATTAATATATGTATATATACAATATAACATACTAATAATAATAATAATAATAATAATAACAAAAGGAATAACACCAATAACAATTATAACAACAATGAACAAACAGCAAACCGAAATCACGATTATCCATCCAATCCGCTATTTTCATAATCCGCCATGTTGTTTTTCTCGTCGATGACGTCACGCAGGGACACGCTCATCGTTACCATAGGCAACTGCCTGACGAGCATCTTTGCTGGATTCGTCATCTTCAGCATCGTCGGATTTATGGCGCACGACCGCGGTGTGAGCGTAGAGTCGATAGCTAAAGGAGGTAAGTGCATGTAGCGTATACACACACCAAGCAAACGAATAAGTGAGTGAATGAGTGAGTGAATGAATGAATGAATGAATGAATGAATAAACGAATGATTAAAGGAACGAATAAATGAATGACTTAGTTATTTAATCAATTAATTAATTAGTGCATGAATGAACGAATTAGCGAATGATTAATTGAATAAATGAATGAATAAATGAATGAATGAATGAATGAATGAATGTGGAGACGAGAATTGTTACTACGTCATAGCGGAGATGATGCAACGCGGTACAGGGGTGGCAACAGCTGCTGATGACTCAAAGTCACCTGTCCGAACATGTTTCACCCGGCCAGCGGGATTATATGGAATCAATACGGCATGCGAGCTGATGATTGGTTATAATGAGCGGTGCCGTATGGCAGAATGTGGTAAATATATAAGGAAGAGGAAAGAAGGTTCGGGGGGCACTGGCTACCCTACCCACGCATGTAAGCTGCAGCACATATGTATCCCAATAAAAACGTCTAAATCTTATATAACATACACAACCTCTTCGACCATCATTGTCTACGATCACCGACCGACGAGTTAGAGTAACAGCAGAATACCGGGGCTACATTTGGTGCCGTGACCAGGATAACTGAGTATTTCTTAGCAAAACAACGCAGGAGGAAGAAGACGAATTTACCGTGTATGACGCACGCGTCGAACATTGAGTAAACACAACGCAGGAGGAAGGAGAAGATGAAGAAAAAGAAGAGGAAGAGGAGGAAGACAGAAGACATAAACATTGATATGCGTAGCACATCTTGCAGAGACTTATTCGTGCTGCGGGCATACGTGAAGTGATATAATGATGCGAATAACGCATATATAAGCCAGAACTCAGACTTGCTATGTCATGGCTATCGAGCAAGTGAGGCAGCAAAGATTGCTAGCATACGGGCATTATATGACAATGCAGACGAACAGTGATATGATGCGGCAGAGAACGCGCATATATAGAAGACAGAACAAATTCGCATAAGTACGACCTGGATATGCAAGACGCAATAATTAAATTGACTACGTCACGCTGATGATTTGATCCGCTCGATAGCCGTTGCAAGCAAGCGTTGCATACGGAGACAGAAAGCAGCTGCAGAGTCGAGGCGCTGAAGTATTGATTTGACAGCGTTGCCAGGGACAACCAGAGAGCGAGACAATTGGCAAATCACGAAAGATCGGAAACGCGCTTTAAACTTTTCAAGCTCAAGCTCAACATAGCTTTAACAAAGAGGGGTGAGTGAAACAAATTCTTGTGTTGGCATAGATAGATTTCGTTATTAAAGTTAAAGCGATAGCTTTCAAACCACTTTGAAAGGTACGCACGTATTACTTAGCGAAATATTAAAGCACTTTTCCCTACCAATATAACCCTACCTCCGCTGCCTTTCCACCACCCTCAACATCCTATTATTTTATTACGTTAGCCATGACGGAATTAACCATAGAAACGATGGCACGTATTTTTATCAAAGGAGTTAAGCCATCACTTGACAGAGTGGTCAACAGTTTTGCTCATAGCGCACGGATTTCGGAATTTCGTCGAGAAATGCTGAAATTTTCGGGGGAACAACTTCACGAACGTACATTAGGACCCACCTTTACGCAATGGCATGCAGCCATAGCATGGGTTCAAATTCAATTAAAATTATCTGATAGCGAGCTCATGAAATTTGCTATAAGCACATTGCACGGACCTGCTGCTGACTTTACGCGCCGTTTACTCTCGGAGACTTCCGAAATTACTTGGAAGAGTTATTATGAAGCTTTATGCTCGCGGTTTAGAGACCCATTGAAAGGTTTAATAGCAGATAGACAGTTAGAAAGTTTTCGTCAAAAGCAATGTGAGGAAATACGAACTTATGCAGACCGTCTAATCAGGCTAGCGGAAATGGCGATTCCCCCACACCAAATTAATCAGGAGTTAAGTCAAAAACGTCTTACAGACATATTTTTAGACGGGCTGAACAGCGTAGCTATACATACAAGCTATTGTTGTCACATAAAGTATGCAAATTACAGGATGCGATCGGATTAGCTGTGAGACAATCAGTTTTGGAACGAGAACTTTCGATACGCAGGAGGCAGACCGCTACAGACAGTAATGAGACTAGACGTAAGGCGGAGATAGGCGGAGACATACCTCGTGAAAACGTTCCACAGTTACGTTCGCAGGGCGAATCGCGACCATACAGAACACAGGGTCACTTCGCTTATGAATGCCGACGTACACGCAATCATCACGTTCATAGTGACAAAGCCGTGTTAAGCGTACCGTCAGCCACGGTTGATGCAGCGTTAACCGTAAGGCCATGCTGCGATATTCGAGTAGCCGGGATTACACTTACGGCACTAGTAGATACGGGATCCGAGTGTACTCTTTTAGCTGAAGCGGTTTGGCAAAGACTGCCGGAGCGTGTTACAGAGACTGCGAATTTCTCTAGTGCAGATAAAGCAGACTTGATATCGATCTCAGGTAGAAGTTAAAGTTAGAAGTTAAAGGAAGTGTCACCATATCCATTAAAATATGCAGAGTTACGTCTAAATGTACCATGTATATTATCAAGGGGTTATCTACACAGGTGCTTATAGGCGCGGATTTTCTTAAGCATACAAAGGCAAGGGTAGATTTTGAGAATGCATGCCTGTCGATAGGAAATAGTGTTATTCCTATATTTGGTCTGCAGAAGCAGAAAAAGCATTTCTCACGCTTAAGAAACGCATGATAGAACCACCAATTTTGGCATTGGCAGATACAGATAAACCATATACGCTTTATTGTGATGCCTCGGGTTATGCATTATGTGCCGTATTAACACAACGCGATGATCAGAACAGAGAAAGGGCAATCATTTATGTAAGTAAGCAATTCACTGAAGCTGAATGCCGTTGGCCAATAGTAGAACGTGAGTGTTTCGCATTATTTTATGGAGTTTCAAAGCTCAAACATTTTATAACAGGGTCAAAGGTCGAAGTGAATTTTGACCATTGCCCACTCCGTTATCTTCTAGAGGCAAAGTCATTACGCAACGCGAAGTTACAGCGTTGGGCGTGTTTACTTTCACAATTCGATCTAACTTTAAAATACAGGCCTGGGAAAAGCAATAAACAGGCAGACGCCTTATCGCGATTACTTATACACACCGCAAGCGGAGAGAAAACTCATGCTGTTGATGCTTCCACGCAAACACGACATGTAGAGAGCAAATTACCGAAGCAATTACAGATAATTGGTGATTCACAACCACCTACCATTGTCGCACACATTCAGGAGAACGCTAGTGCACGGCAAACAGCGAAGGCAGCACACAAAGAGTGTGACGATCTCACGTTAGATACATTTAGAACAATGCAAGCAGGTGACAAATTCATCTCCAATGTTAAGGAAGCATTGCTTAGAGATAATTGTTCGTTACGCGATGCACGGTTTGTTAGTAATTATTACCTGGATGATGGATTATTATTTCACATAGAGGCGGACAAGACAAATTACAATTCTCAGTTAGAAGTTCCACGCGAGCTTGTTTCTAAACTTACGGCACTTTTTCACGACCATGTTTACTCCGGCCATAGACTTAATGGGACCGTTCCCCATTACGCAGAATGCTAATCGTTACTGCATTACATTTATAGATTTATATTCGTCTTGGCCGGAGGGCTATGGAATTCCGAGTAAGACAGCCTCTACGGTGGCAGACATCATTGTCAACAAGTTCATTCCAAGGCATGGGTGCCCCGAGATGTTTTTGACAGATAATAGCACAGAATTTTGTAATGCATTATTGAAATAGCTTACACAAGCAATAGGGATTAAACACGTAACGACAGCCCCCTTTCACCCAGCATCTAATGGGGTTGTTGAACGCTTCCACAGAACGTTAAATTCTCTTTTGGCCTGTTATCTAGGCCAGGCGCATGCAGAATGGGACAAACAGCTGGGCGGAGTTCTGTTTGCATATCGTACAGCAGTACATGACACTTCCCAGTTCACACCTTACGTTTTAATGCATGGCAGAGAAGCGAATATGCCACTCGATGTGATTCTCAAACCACGGAGAGTCCAGTATGCAGATGTTCCAGTTGCACAGGCAACAGAGAGGTTACATAGTGCATGGTCACAAATCCAGCAGAACACACGTGCTGCGAGAGCACGAAATAAGCTACTTTATGATAAAAGAGCTAAAGATCAGAAGTTGGCCGTGGGTGATTCAGTGTATTGGCACAGCCCAGTACTAGGACCGAATCAGACCGCCAAATTTCATTCGGCTTGGCGTCCATATTTTACGATTGTGGAGCAGGTGCATGTCTCCATTAGTGTTTCGCATTAAGCATCAAGAACAAACCCGTACATATAGGGCACACGCTGATAGTCTGCAACCGGCTTACCCGTCTGATGCTTGGAAGACGCGGGAAGATAGTTTAGGTGCGCAAGACACTGCGAGAACGCGAGATATACTCTCTAGACACGCTAAAACGGTTCACGGAGCGGATGATGAAACGGACAGCGTTAGTAGTGAGAATTGGGAACTTGAAGACTTACTCCCATTAGCAGAACTTAGAGATTCACCTGAGAGAGGAGAATCTGCGGCTTAACTTTACACGGTACAAGCTAGTCCAAGAGGAAGGTTGTATCCGTGGGACTGTGTTTAAACGAAGCAGGCAGAGCCGTGTAACAGTAAAAAAATAGCAGAGCAGCGGAATGCGCCGGGGAGAGCGCATGCGGCGAGTATTACGTTGACGATCGTGGCGGTCATGGACGATCGAAGCAACGGTGGAAGATGCCCCCCCCAATCGCTGGGTATTCCCCACGACGAGGGAAGGATGTACATCGGGGACCTGCTATTCCCAGCCTCACAAACTGGAAGAGCAGATTTTAGCCGCCGATCTCGCGCCGTCTTGTACCGGAACGGGTAGCGACGGGAGAGATGATGTGTGTTTTAATTGCAGGACTGTGGGAGTCGAAAGGACTACCAAAATACACAGAAAGTTATTCTAAATTACGTTATCCACCCATCCATCCTCATACAAAGTCAGCCTCACCGCCTATTGTATCAACATTATACCCAAAGTCAATATTATGATATTTCAAGGCTAACAATATGAAACAAATTTTCGAACGATTCAATGCCGACATATAATTGTTTCACACGCCTATAGAGAATTGCACGTGTTACGGTTCATTGAGTATCCAATGATGTAGACTCAGTAGTCGCGATGCACGCGAATAGGTGCGTTCGGCACACGCGTAGAGAGAAGTACGAGTTTAATGGAAATTGTATGTATGTTTAACCGCGAGTATATATTCTCGTACTATGTGTTTAATAGTATAAAACGGTATATACGTTGTAACGTGAAGGATCCGTGGAATTTAGTCTGCATATATGTATGAAGAGAGCTCATAGTTAATGACTTATATCTCCTTTAGGGATAGCTATATAGTTGACATGCTGAGTGCAGAAGGCACTACACCGATAATAACGACTAATGATTAGCCGAGGAAAGTTAGTTCCACGAGTCGTGCAAAGACTATCGTATAACGTCAGTGCGACATCATCGCCTGCAGCTCTCAACGCTCCATGTACCACCCGTTGGGCCCAGCGGGATGGACAAACCACACATCAACGTGGAGGAAGCCGGCGAGATCAGCAGATCGACGAATGCCACAGCATCTGACTATTCTCACAATTGGGACGTTTATGCTGAACGAGCCCTAACGTGAAGAGCTCGATTCGGACAGCACGCTATGATACAGCATTGTCACTATTCTATAATATTTACGTTTACATGATGTTTGGTTTATAATGTATATTTGTATTCAGTCAGGAGACTGACAAGCCGATTAAATTACCGGGTTAATCGACTTGAACATGGCGGGGTGAAATGTGGAGACGAGAATTGTTACTGCGTCATAGCGGAGATGATGCAACGCGGTACAGGGGTGGCAACAGCTGCTGATGACTCAAAGTCACCTGTCCAAACATGTTTCACCCGGCCAGCGGAATTATAGGGAATCAATACGGCACTCGAGCTGCTCATTGGTTACAACGAGCAGTGCCGTATGGCAGAAGGTGATAGTTATATAAGGAAGAGAAAAGAAGGTCCGGGAGAGAGTCGGGTGCACTGGCTACCCGACCCACGCATGTAAGCTGCAGCACATATGTATTCCAATAAAAACGTCTAAA